GTGCAGGCTCGGAATGGGGAGAGAGACGCTGGAAAGTACAGTAAAAAAAGAAAAGAAAAGCTCCTCTATCAAACAGCAACAAGTCTTATGCCTTTGCTCTGGTCAGTGACCTTTCCCTCTGGAATTCTCCCCTCTGACCCACAGATCATTAATCCCCACCATGCCAGATGACAGTAATCCATCACGGGCCCTGACAAGCCTTGCAGCCGGCTGTGAAAAGATCTGCTCGGCCTCCCTCCATCCCAGGATACTCATTTTTCATTTTTCCTGTTCAGCACCAAGGGCTTCCAGTAACAACTTATCACCAGTCCCTTCCTACCAGAAGGCCCGCACGGATGCCGGGGCCTGGAAGGCGGTGGGGGGCACCCAATACGGGGCCTTTCCACACTTACTGCGTGTGTTTATTTCTCTTCATCTTCGCTCGTGAAAGGCTCTTGAGTGTGCAGACCTCCCCAGAACGGAAAAGCAAACAGTCTCCCCCTCTCCCTCTTCTCGCTGAGTCTATTTTAAAATGAGGAGGAGGAGGAGGAGGAGGAGGGAGTATATAAACATATTTCATTCTGTTCTTTAAATGATCTCCCTGTTCGGCATGTGTTATAAACTTAAATAAGCTGTTCAGGTTGGATTTTTTAAAAAGGTATTTTGAATAGCAGCGATAAAATTGTCGGTTAAAGGTAGGGAGGATGAAGCTTTTTGTAAATACTATCACGGTCCTGACTGAGCCTCTCTTGGCAGGTGCTGCCCTTGAGAGGGGCTTGTCTCCCATCACCCAGCTCGCTTCTGGAAGAATTTCAAATGCCTCTGTGGAGTGTAGAGTAGGATTTGCAAACTATTTAGAGCCCTTACGGATAGATGTTTGTGTTTGCTGAGTTGAGATCCTGGGAATTTCCAACTATTCTCTTAATTTGGGCATTCATGCTAAGGCCTTTAAGACTGAAAAAAAGGAGGGTCTGAATAAATACTCTAGCCCATAATGCTGGGGAAAATGGAAGGAAAGAAAATGATTAGCAGCAGTGCAGATAGTTGATTACAGTGGCAATGGGTACACCACTGGAAGACCTGAAGGGCCAGGTTGAGGATCCTGGAAAGGATCTGTCTATGAAAGGAGAACCTTTTCCATATATGATGCACCTTAATATTGACTTTTGAGAAGTCATGAGGTTGAATTGGCTATATGCTTCACAAGCTGGTATAAAAAGCTGGTTAGAGGAGTCATGGAGCATGCTTGTTTTTGATACATACACAGAGGTTTTATGTCTCTTTGTCCTCACCGCTGGCTTCTCTGATACACTTGGGCACATGTATGTGAGATAAAATGACTCAGTAAAATATTGCTTTGATCATCTCTATGATAAGAAAATGCAGGTAATTTTGCACCGTTGGCTCTTCTGTATAATCTCCAGAGGCCACATTGCATCCTCCAAGTGTGCCAGCCAGCAACTCCTGTAATCCTCGTCCATCTGGAGGTCATCACCATTCTGGTGATCGTTCAAGAACAGAATCCTGGCCTGATTCACCCTTTGATCGTAATTCATCGATTGCACTAAACCATAATTAATCTGTTCAACTGTAGCCAACTTGACCTTCTCGTGCCTTCTCAAAAGCCAATGTTAATGTACATCATATATGGAAAAGGTCCTCCTTTCATGGGTGGGTGCTATACATCTGCCTTTGTGATGTGTGTCCCACATCTTCTGGGACAGGCAGAGGCGCCACACACCAAGCTAAAACCAATCCTCCAATTATGATATACTCAGTAAATCATAGTCAAGCCAATTACTACAGTGTGTGAATTCTTAATCAGAAAACCTACTACTAGAGGCTACGGGCAAGAGCATGACAGCTCTCAAGCTTTTGTTCTGAACCCAGAGTCATGTTAATCTGTCAAGCTTTTTGACATTAAAAGTAATAAAAAGTTCTAGAGAAGAATAACATGGATAAAACGTTATGTTTCTTATCTCAAGGAGAGCAACATATCAATACTTTCGGCTTTGGACCTTGACCCCAATTCACAGGAAATCTGTCTTGTGGACAGCATCTATCCAGTTTGGCGGTTTCTCGCCCTTTCCGGTCAAACGGCTCTTGTGTGTGATCTTCCCGCTGTGGCATTTCCTATTTTTCCTTGCAGAGTACGTCTTCAGGATTTCATTAGCTAGACTGGTTTATAAAGTGCTAAAAAAAAAAATGCCAAAACGTTGACATGATAATCTGATTTAGTGCTTGAAGAATGGCTTCCAGAGAGAAGCATATCTCATGGAAGGTGATTTGAGTTTCTTGTGTCCAAGATCAAATCTACTTGTACTCCTTTATTTTGTTACGCCCACTGACGACGAACAATGAAAACTAGAGTTGTGTGCCTTAAGTTTGATCAATGTGAGGGTGGTTTTGTACAGTAGCACATAGAGAGGAGTGGACAACCTTTGGGTTGTCAAGGACTTCATACTAAAGTGAGTGGCAGGTCAGAGGTCAGCTGTTAGTGGCCTGTCATTTCCCCCAATATGTGTGCAGAACTCACCAGTCTGTTGAGAAGCGGGGCAAAGCAAACGAAGGAATTCTCCCCCGCCTTCCCCGGATATTGTTCATCTAGGAGCCAGAACTTTCAACCTTCTTCCTAGCTTCCTGAACTCAAATATTTACTATAGCAGTCACAAGAGCCATTCCCTGGGAAATGCAGTCAGAAAATGTTTGTGCTTCAGTTCAGAAATGGGCCTGTAGTCCAAATATGAGAGGGAACATGCTGGAATGGAAGGGGAGTTATCTTCTTTTACTTCAATTGCTTTCCTTAACTCTCTAAGTAGGCATTACTCAAGCACCCTTGCCTTTTTCAAATGCGCCCCATGTCCAGTGAATTCGGTCACCTGGCCTGTAATGTTCAGTTTCGTTCCTGAAAGCAGCGTTTCTCAACCTTGGCCGCTTGAAGATGTGTGGACTTCAACTCCCAGTATTCCCCATGTTGGCTGGGGAATTCTGGGAGTTGAAGTTTACACATCTTCAAGTGGCCAAGGTTGAGAAACACTGCCTTAGAGAAATTGTTTTGCTTTATAGCTGTTTCTTTGCAAGGTACAATGAGCCGGTGGGGGCAGGGGAGCGTGGAAGGGAGTAAAGTTTAGAGGCAGCCTCCACCCTGGGTTGAAACCACGTGCTGCATGCATCAGGAGATAAATACACCTCTTATTTTTTGGGCTGCCAAAAACATGAAGAGTCATGAAATCAGTTGACGCTATCAGTGGCATCTACCCCAAGCCACGATAAACTCAAAGTGAAAACAACATACATCATAATGCAGTTATGTACTCGCATTGTGACATCTGATGCCGTTTCTGAAGTTACGCCCTTCGTATTTTGAATCGCCTATGTCATTTGCCCTCTGGGAACTCCTAATTATAGTGCTGTGAGGCAGAGGCGTCCCCCAAAATCCAACAATTCCGGCAAAACGCAAGCTCTGCTTTTTTGTATGTGTGCGCATTGTCGTGGTGTAGGTACAAAAGGGATGGATCCTTTAGCATAATGCTTGCCTCTTCCTGTGGATAGGACAGATGTCAAAAGGACATTTGGTGCCCTTATACTATAAAATCCCTGACGTCACTCACCTTTGAGGCGTGCACACGCACGCATCTGCCTTTATTCCAAAGCAGAAATTTAGCTAATTTAGAATTTGGACTAGTTTCAGGGACTCAAGCAGTAGGTGACATTCATTCACAAATTCTGGAATAGTTGTAATACTTGGCACACGCAAAATTAACTTACCAGGTTCACTTTCATACTAGATAACCATGGCTCCAGGGTTTCTGTGGCTTTAAAAGTGGGAGAAGCTGTGGCCCTCTGGCTAATGGTGTCATCACCATGAGCTACAATAGCTGGGGTTGATAAGCCTTGGAGAGTGGTATTTTTCCGCCTCTGATTTAAAATGAGATTTAAACAGTTCAGAGGACCAAACTAGCCGTCATGTTTAAAAAGAGAGCAGGAGGTTCAGGTTGGCCTGTTTTATATATCCTGTTAAGCTGTAATAAAATTGGTTTGGCTTTGGCATAATGTGTTATCTGGACCTCGCTATTTTGATTTGTAAGCCATAGTTTATGGTTTAGTGTGTTGTGTGAATCCAGTCAACTGTGGTTTGTAAAGCTAACCATGAGTAAAATGGTGCAAGTCAGGTCACTGTATCTTTTAATGTGAGGTGCCAGGATCGGAGAGCAGCGGGGCTACAATTTTCTGAATTCCCAGTCTGTATAGCAAACCGCAGGGTACAATTACCTGTGTACACGAGATGCACATTTCACACTTATGTGTGGCAAAAACTGCCCGTCTCTGGTACAGGGGCAAATAAGAAGTGTCTTGTTCTCCTCCCTTGACCTGCAGTGCTGTTAAAGGCCAGTATGAAAACTACATTGAAGCATACACTAGAAAAACCAACGTTTCTGTTTGCCCACCTTCCTGCCCTCTGAACACAGAACCCTGCTGCTCATCTTCTTGCTCCCAAGCAGGCCCCTTCAAAGGCTGTTACCTTGGTGTAAGGTTCTCTGACCACCACCACCCTTATCCTAAGGAAAAGAGTGCAACTGGAAAAGAACTTGAATACATTTGTTGCCCGTTGGTTGCTTTTAGGGAAACCAGAAGACTCTTTATTTGGCGTCTGTAAGAACTGTTCTTCATGGGGAAGAGTCTTGTGTTACACACACACACACACACACACACACACACACTAAAAACACCTCTGCATATTCATTATGCTGTGGTTTCAGCCTAGAAGGTACTGATTGATACTAGGAAGAAAGAAAAAAACACAGAGTAATAGGAAGACCATGCATACAATTAGATGATGCTTCCTTAGCCTTTAATAAAAATTGTGAAAATTAAGGAGATCAAGTCTAAAGCCCTGGTGGAAAAGGAGGCACTAGTGGAAGGAGATCCCCGTAGTGTGGAGAAGCAGTTCAAGGCAGAAGGTCTCCTGGTAACTTGCTGGCTTTTTCCTTCTTTCTCTTTCCTCATTGCTGTGGGTACAGGGACACCCATCAACCGCATCCCAATCATGGCCAAGCAGATCCTTGACCTCTATATGCTCTACAAGCTGGTGACAGAGAAAGGAGGGTTGGTGGAGATCATCAACAAGAAAATCTGGAGGGAGATCACGAAAGGCCTTAACCTCCCCACCTCCATCACCAGTGCAGCATTTACGCTTCGCACCCAGTAAGTCCTAGGCGGGCGGGCGGGGGGGAGCATTACAAGGAAAAGAGTCAGATGCATCCCTGCCT